TTCCTGCGAATCAAATGTTCACGGGAAGCAGGGGAGGGGGCGGAGTTGGGGCGGGGACTTTGGGGAAGGGGCGGAGTTGGGGCGTGGGCGGGGCTGGGGGCGGGGGTGGGCCCCCGTGGAGTGTCCTCCTTTTGGAGGCTCAAAATATGGTAACCCTAATACAGAGGCAAGAGGGCCCTGTGGGACCCAGGTGCTAGCGCTTCCTGTGCATGACATGGTACGGAGAGCACTGTACTGCCCACGGACTCCAGACACAGTCTGGTGACCCCTCGCCTCTCCCCAGGGGAGATGGATTCACAGCCACCGCTCGGAGAGCTGCAGTCTTGGCGACTGACTTCTCTCCTTCACACACAGCCACCTGCGACTGTCTTTTCATAGCAATATTTTTCTTTCAATGAAATTTGGCTTTTTGACCCAAATGAAAGTTTGTTGCTGTGGGGTTGTTTTTTGGGAGGGGGGAGAGGGGGTTATGAAAAGCTGAAACACCCCTCCCCAAATATTTCAAAGTGTTCGGGGGTTAAAAATAATTGGTTTTCAAACACGGGTTTTCCCAATAACTGTGCATTTTTTGCAAAACGTGGCTTTCAACGCTGGAAGGTATTTCAGGTTCTGTTCCCTGTAAAATATTCTTGGAAATTTGTAAAAACCACAACAGCCGCCAGGCCTGGTCTGAGCCAGCTTCCCCATGGCCGTCTGTGGGTTCGGCAGCTGGCTCCTCGGACAGGGCTCTCTGCGTGCTGGGAGGGTGGGGTCACTGAACAGCTGTGGAAAGTCCAAAGGAAATGAGCTGTTGTCAGCCCAAAGGCCAGTCCCTCCCTGTCACTTGACTCCTGAACACCAGTGTGCTTTGGCGAGCTACAGGCCAGTGCGGGTGGATGCAGAGGATGCTGGGGAGAAGAGGCGCAAGGAGGTGGCTGAAGCCCAGCCCTGCCCCTTTCTGAGTAAGGCGGGAAAGCCAGGCTGATGGCAAGGCTGGGATGGGGTTGTGTGACGGACGCCGCAGTACAGAAGAGTGGGTGCTACAGACGCTACCATTAGTGGGTAGTGTCTGTAGCACCCATTAGTGATAGCCAGGCCATCACCTCCTGCCTCCTCACCCTTTCCTGGCTTGCCCCCGGGATCGTAAACCTGCCAGTCTGCGCAGACCCCATTGCCTGCCTTCTGCAGCCACGGGGCTGCTGGGTAGCAACTGCAGCATGCCCACTGGGCACTCCTTGAAGTGGGTACAGGCGTCGGAGCTCAGCCAGCCAGGCCTTGAGGGAACAATCTCCCTGCAGGCTGAAAACAAGGGGCCTGGACAGCGATATGTGGGGAGATGAATTTTGGTGCTGGGGGCCTGGAGATAGAGGGCTGCTTGGAGTGAGAAAAAGCCAAGGGAGGAGGCAGCAGATGGGAAGCCCCCGACACCTCCTGTCACCACTGTCTGATGTGCATTTCAGGTTTCATACGGGCATTCCCCTAAGATCAGAAAGCAGCTTGACACCCCCTCACCCCTCCCAGCAGTGCTAGCAGGGGATTGGACTCCAACACCCAGGAGGTTTGTGTTCTTAATGGACTGAGCCAATTCTCTGTTCTTCACGTATCGTTTCATTCTAAGAATTGACGTCCAGAACTTCCTGCCGCTGCCCTTGCACTTAAGCAACGTGCTTTAGGGGGGGTGGTTTGCGTGGCTGGGTCCTGTCCGCTGCTTCCCGCCCAACCTGTATTGAAAGCAGCAGCTCTGTCTAGTCATGATCTTTGCCCTTTGCCAGAGTCACGGTGATGTGCTCTTATCATTTGTCATCAGTGGAGGTGCCATTCATTGAGGCCAGCATTGCTAGGTCACCCTATTTCCCCAAGGGAAAACGGGACACCCCCAGCTGCTCGCTGAGGCCTTCCCTGTCCCTGCGAGACTGTTGCTGCTCACTGGAACCCTGCCCCTCTCCCCCCGCTCACACGGGGCTGGCATCTCCACTCGCAGCCCCCCCCGCACGTTCTTCCACCCCCCCACACACTTTTTCACAAAAGTGGGCATTTGTCCCATTTGCTCTTGCCAACTGATCACGTTGGCAAGAGCAAACAGGACAAATGCTCATTTTGGGTGCGGGAGGGGGGGGGTGAGGAAGAGTTGGGAAGGCCAGGACAGGGCTTAAGAAAGGGACTGTTCTGGCCAAAATTGGACCTATGGTCACCCTAAGCATTGCTCTTCAGCTGTGTTTAAGGGCTGGGCATCTGATACTTCCAGACGAGGATATTTTAAATAATGGAACCTTTCCTCCCATCTCTGAGTACCTGGTGTGTTTGTCCCGACCTAGTCGCAAACTGTAATTTCTTGTGTTTCATAGAGGAAGCCTATGAACGTGACTTATATACATGCTATAGGCACCGACTCTGCGGGTGCTCTGGGGCTTAAGTGACTGGCGAGAGGTGCTCGGGAGAGGGCGGAGAGCAGCGAGTGGCAGGCCTTCAGGGGAGAGGGTGGGGTGGGAAGAGGCGGAGCAAGGATGGGGCCTTAGCGGAAAGGGGAGTGGGGCTGGGACCTTGGGGTGGGAGCACCCACCGGGAAAAATAAGTCAGTACCTGGGAAACTTGCTATACAAAAGCAGCTGTGTATCCATTCGTCTGGGAGGGTAGAGTAATGTAAAGCAGTCTGTTGCGAGGTACCCTGAGTGGCACTTGGTTGGCTATTCCCTGAGATAAAATGTTTGGAGCTGTTTGCTCGTGTGACCAAGGAGTAGGTACAGTAGAACCTCAGAGTTAGGAAGACCTTGGGAACGGAGGTTGTTCGTAACTTGAACAAAACATTACGGTTCTTTCAAAAGTTTACAACTGAACATTGACTTAGTACAACCTTGAAACTTTACTACGCAGAAGAAAAATGCTGCTCTTAACCATCTTAATTTAAATGAAGGCAGCACAGAACCAGTTTCTTTCGGGGTGTGTGTGAGTGTGTGTTCATACCGACACCACCACATATTCAGCAAAGGCATTTGAAAATGACGCCCTGGAGTCAGCTTGTACCCGCCACAAATAGTAGGTTTAAGAACAATAGGCCTGTCTTCACATGCATGTTTTATACCACTGCAACTCCAGGTGGTATCCTGGGTGGGTCAAAAGGATTATTCACCCACAAAGAGATTAGCAGAGGACTGTACAGAATGGGCTACCAGGCAAACCTCCAACTGCGGAGATGCAACATCCAAGTCAGCGGAGTTCTTAGTCTTATGAAGCTATTCCTCATTTACACCAGTTTAAATGAGGGGGCTTAGTATCAGCAATAGAAGGAGTGTCTGTATGGCTTGAGTAGACAGCAAGATTGCATATCTTCGGAGTGGGACTTTAGTCCCGCTGTGCTGCCGTTTTGCTGGGAAAAACATCTCACGGTGCCCTGACTAGCTATAAGTATCACTCCAGTTTTGCTGAGGTGGACACCTGTGTGCAGGTGAAGTTGATTCCCTCTTGTGAGGGCGGCCTGCGCCCTCCTAGCTTTGAGAAGCCCCCAGCAGCTCCACAGGTGAGGTAGGCTCAGCTGCAAACGCACCAGGAGCACCGCTACAAAGGCGGAAAGAAGTGAATTAAAGAACAAAATGGCAGGACCTGAGAGAGATGGGGGAAGCAGCTGAGGGCTGCAGACAGCCTGGACAGAAGGAAGTCCATAGCCAAGTTCAATAACAGGCTGCGTAGCTGGATGTGGTGTGACATGCTGACAATGGCAGTTCTATAAACCTCGAGAAACCATTCCTCCCTCAAAGGGCTTGACGTTGCCAGTGCTATTTGCAGCAAAGCTGCTAGTAAAAGTCTGCAGATTTGGGCAATACACCTGCAGCAACAGTCCCCATAATACCAGGAAAAAGGCAAACACTGTTTCTGCCCATTTAAAAGGATCCTACAGTGTCTACCATGCCAGTGCTCAGTGCGGCCCTTCTCCCCCCAAAAAAGCTTCAACAACGAGTAGGAGCTACTCATTGCTAATGTCCAAGTCCCAAATACTGGAGGCGAATGATGTTCATCTTGGGATGAAGTCCTGTGTCTGAGATATATAATCCCCTTTTAGAGGAGTCCCTTCCTTGGATTTTATGTAATGAATGTCTTGGAGATTTCTTTTTAAAAGCATTTTTGGGACGGCGCTAAGCTGTGGTACCCCCATTAGCTACAGAGCTATAGATGTAAAGCCTCCCAGCAAGATGCCCCACGTTATTTGGCTTGGACAGGAAGTCAGAGGGGTTGATATCACTTTGTCTTTCTGCTCCCGTACTGCTTTGATATCTTCATTACAAATTCCTGGCTCCGTGATTATAGCATCTACTATTCATCAAGGGCCAGGAATGGCTGTTCAATGCCGTTTGTGACAGCTGTTCAAATTCAGGGGAATAGAGGAACCAGAGAACCGAATGGCTTAGAGCCCCTATATGGCAGGAAATTAGTTTTATTCCCCAAATCTCCAATGAGTCACAGTCTAGATTTATTAAAGATAGAGAAGAAATGACTCCCTCCTTATCTCCCTCTGGAGCTCCTGGGACATGATTTCCTGTCTTTATCTCAGGGAATATGGTTTTCCTGTTTGGTTCTCTTTGCCCCACATTATGTGACTTCGGCAGGAAATAAGAGGCGTTGATATCATTTTGTCTTTCTGCTCTCCTACTGCCTTGATGTGTGTCATCTGACTTCTGCCACAGAAAGCAGGCTTAATGACGGCTGAGCCAATCTGTTAGTTCATCCTGACTGTCCCTCCTCTCCCACATCCACCTCCTTATTTCTTATGCTTCAGCTAGACAGACTGGTAAGAGCTTTATACAATTATCACCCTTTTTGAAACACTGAAATCACAGTCAATGACCCTTCCTCCCCCTAAATAAAAAACCAAACCAACCTTCTTTGCCTAAGTGTTTGGAAACAGTTTGGAAGAAGGAAGGACTCCACACAGGGTGTGAGGAACTGTCTGTATTATTTAATTTTTAAGGGATAATTCTTATTCTAGCCAAGCAATTAAAAAGTCTGCCAAATTAATTGGAAAGATAGCTGAAGGCACAGTTCTATCCTAACGTAACTCTGCAAAAATGTCTTTGTATAGTGTTCAAAGTGACAGTGTAAAAATGGCATCACTGGTCTTATATTATCCCAATAATTTACATATGAAATATGCCCAAATTAGAACAGGGTGCTTTTTTCTGTCCTCCCTAAAAATTTAATTTGAGAGTCAAACTGGGTTCTTTCCTGCTCCCACATTGTCACCATTAATAAAGGTTCTGCAAGCCAAATTAGGCACTCAGCAACAACTGCACAACCAGCCCATGTGGTGGTGTATGGGTTTACACAGGTGTAATCACTCATCCCTGGACTGAACTTAATGTGACAGATTATCAACTAGTGCAAATTGTCCTTAATCCAGGGTACATTGGTGTAACTCCATTGACTTCAACAGAGCTACACTGACTTACGCCAGCTGAGGATCTGACCCGATACATCATTCTGTTTGATGCAGTAGAAGACCTCTTGGGATACGTCTACACTACCACCTGGATCGGCGGGTAGTGATCGATCTATTGGGCATTGATTTATCGCATCTAGTGTAGACGCGATAAATCGATCCCCGATAGCTCTGCTGTCGACTCCGGAACTCCATCACGGCGAGAGGCGGAAGCGAAGTCGACGGGGGAGCAGCAGCCGTCGATCCCGCACTGTGAGGACGCAAAGTAAGTGATTCTAAGTCGATCTAAGATACGTCGACTTCAGCTACGCTATTCTCGTAGTATCTTAGTTGCGTATCTTAGATCGATTTCCCCCCCCACCCCCCAGTGTAGACCAGGCCTAAGGCAGCTCGCGCTCTCCTAACTGTGGTGGCTGCCTAGGGCTGGGGGAGTAAAAAGGAGTTGTGTTAGTTAAGTAGGATGACTGACCATATTTCCCAAAGGGGACACTGTGTGGGGCTGGCCCGAGCCACTCCCCTGAGCTCTCTTCCACACGGGGCTGGCCTTAGGAAGACCTCCCCCCCCCCCCCCACGCACGGGGCTTGCCTGAGCCGCCTGGTGTCACTGCTCACCCGAACCCCGCCATACAGAGCGGGCATTGCTCCCGCTGCAGACATTCCTCCGTGTCCCACTAAGATCTGGACTGCAGGCTTTGGTCATCCACCTAGGAACACCTTATAGTAGGGTTACCATTCGTCCGGATTCCCCCAGACATGTCCGGCTTTTTGAGCTAAAAATACCGTCTGGGGGGAATTTGTAAATGTCCGGACTTCCCCCCCACCATGCAGAGCGCGCGCGGCTAACAGGGCAGCCGGCCTGATGGTGCCACTTACATGGGGCTCCGTCAGCCAGAGAGAGCCCCTCTTCCTCTCCCCTGCAGCAGAGCTCACTCCCTCCCTCCCTGCATTCGCCTCCGGCAGTCTGGAGCTCTTCCCCCACTGCTGCCCAGCATGCCCGGACAGGACGAACGGCTCAGGCCGTTCCTGAGCAAGCTCACGGAGACATTAGGCGAAGGCCAACAACAAGGGGGCCAGGGGGTCGGAGAAGGGGCAGGGAGGTTTTGGAGGGGGCAGTCAAGAGACGGGGAGCGTCGGGAGTTCGGTGGGGGCTTTCTGGGGGTGGGGATGTGGATAAGGTTTTGGGCAGTCAGGGTACAGGTAGGGGGTAGGGTCCTGGGGTACGAGTTT